TATACGTATACGTATATATATATATACGTATATATATACACATACATATTCGGAGCCCCTGGGTGGCGCAAAGAGTTAACCACTTGGCTACTAACTGAAAGTCTGGAAGTTTAAATCCACCCAGCAGTGCCTTGGAAGAAAGTCCTGGCAATCTACCCCCCCCCCAATGGTCACAGCTATTGAAAACCCTGTGGAGTGCAGTCCTACTCTGAAAATTCATGGGGTCGTCATGAGTGGAAATCTACTCAATGGCAACTGGATTTGTAGCCTATATATGGCATATATGTTGGGAAAATTAATTTCTGAACCATAGATATGGCATATATAATACACTATACATTACTGTTATGTACCCAAACCCACTGCCGTCGAGTCAAATCCAACTTACAGTGACCCTACAGGACAGAGCGGAACTGCCCCACAGGGTTCCCAAGGCTGTAAATCTTTACAGAAGCAGACTGCCACATCTGTCTCCCGCAGAGAGGCTGGTGGGTTCAAACCGCTAACCTTTCAGTTAGCAGCCAAGCGCTTTAATCAATGAGCCAGCAGGGCTCCCTACTGTTATGTACAGTGATTACATAAACAAATTCTGAAATAAAGAGCCTGGGTTTGAATCCTGGCTCAATTTACCAGCTGGGTGATCTGGGCAAGTTACTTTACCTCTCTGTGCCTCAGTTTCCTCATCTCTAAAATGGATCTTACTCATAAGGCTGTTGTGCAGATTAAATAAAACACACAAGACACTTAGAAAAAGGCCTCGCACACAGAATGTGCACAGTAAATGTTAGCTTTCATTGTTAGAGAGGCAATCCAAACACGTGGCTCAACTGAAGAAGTTTCCATTGAGAAATAGTTAAGTAGATTTCCAAAACTCATGTGCAAAGTCATTTACATCAACTGTTACAAGTTGTATGTTTAAATTCAAGTGATTACTGAAGTATGTCACGATCTCAAATAGAGTTCTGGGGACTATACAGGTAGCCTCTGCATACCGTTCTTCTCCCGTACCATCCCTTCCATCTCCCTTGAAGCCTAGCCATCATCTTATCAATTAAACCCCTTCCACGAGTTACCCATTCGGTGCTTAAAGACACCGAAAACCACCACTAGCACGAAAGTACCGTAAAATGTTCTTATTTCAGAAGAGTAACATCTTTTTCCAACACAATGGTCGACTGGGGTGGACTGGGGGTCAAGAGGAGCCCTGGTGGCACAGTGGTTAGGAGCTCAGCTGCTAACCAAAAGGTCGGCAGTTCAAATCCACCAACCACTCCTTGAAAACCCTATGGGGTAGTTCTACTCTGTCCTATAGGGTCACTGCGAGTTTGAATCCACTCGAGGGAAACTAGTTTGGTTTAGTGGGTCAAGATGGAAGGGGTGGATGAAGGAGAAAAAAAGAAAAACAGGCAACAGGAGAAATATGAGAATTCAGAGAACTGTGAAAATTTAATTCCTGGATATTCTTTCTTTCTCCTCGCTGTACTTGTAAGGACTTCTCTGCTTACAGAAGTAAATTACCACAATATTTAAAACACTTAGAGATTTTTGTAAAATTCATTCTCTGAAAACTCTTGGTGGCCCCGTTAATCTGTCCCTTAAAAACAACTCAGAGTTAAAAAGAAGCTGACAAAAAATAAATAAAAGCAATGCCTCATTTGCGGGTGATGTGCTTTTCCTGCTATCAACAAGCCGCACACCTGGGAGTCGCCTTTCTAGGGTCGCTGTTCATGGACCATCCACTTTCTCTCACCACCACTCCGCCACCCTTAATTATTTAGAAAAGGCAGGGCCAGTCAGTGCTCCAAACATCAAGTTTTCTTTCCAAAAGGCCAACTGGCGCTTGGGGAGCTCTCCAATTCTCAGCTATCAGCACTCCACTAACCCCTGCTGATAAGAAGCGTCCTTTTACTGAATTACTCACGATAAAAAAAACTGTTTCTTAAAACCAGGCATTCCCCTACTACCCACCCACCCCATCCCCGTCCCTGCCCCCCCCACACGCACCCTCAGATACTCCATACCAAGGGTGTGCCCCCAAGCAGGGTGTCGGGCTCCGCTTGTTTACACCCCCTTGGAAAGCCTCTGGAGAACCATACGTTTGGCTGGCAATGCCCTGAACCCCGTGTATTCAAGCTGGCACCTATTCAAAAACGCAGGTGAGTCTTCAAGTCAGGTTTTTAAAACGAGTTTAACAGGAGTCACGCGGTATGCCCGCTCGCCCTCAAGTGTCTTATACAAAGGTAGAAATTTCTTAAGATGTTTACAATGTCTCAATTATGGGTTAATGAAATCCCTCAGTGAGGATGGTGCACTCGGGAAAATCCTCCAGCTTAATGCCCACCATTTTCAGAAAAAGAGGGGGAAATCTCCAAAATTACAAATTTGAATTCCTAGACGCTAAAAAGCCTGTTGGAAGGATGAATTTGAAAGAAAGGCATATTATGTATTACATTACCTACATGACTGCATCGAAACAAGATTAGAAGCATACAAACCGGCAAAGAGTGTAAATACGAATGCATACATTAAAATATAGTCATATATACATATTTATTTTTTAAACCACACCCTCCCCGGGTGGCTTCTCAGGCTCGCCCCGGCCAAATGGTCAGCGTCACGCCGTCCGGGCACCCACTGGGTGGGGGCCCCGGCTGTGAGCCAGACATCCAACAGCAAAGACCCCTGCGTCGCAGCCGCCCCGGGGCAGGCGGGCGCTCCAGGTGCCCCCGGGCGCCCTTCCCCGGGCCCGCCCAGCCCAGCCCCGTCCCGCAGCTCCGCAGGCCGCGGTCCTGCCCTCCGCGACCCCAGCACCGCCCGCCCGGCCCTGAGGGTGGCCGCGCGGGGACCCAGCCCCAGCTGAGAAGGACCGGGCGGTCAGGCGGGCGCGGCCCCCAGACTCACCATGGCCGAAGAGCCGCGAGCGCGCCCACAGCCCCGAGTCACACGGCGCCGGCGACGCCCGTTGTCCTGGTGACGCCAGCCAGGCGCCCCGCCCCGTCCCTAAGGTGGGCTCGGAGACTGCCATTGGCGGTCGGCGAACACGTGACTCATAGGGGCGGTGCCCTCTGGGTCCGCCCCGCCCCTGACTCTTGGGCGGGGCCGCCTCGCCTCTCCCTTTGGTCTGGACCATCCGCACCCTAGTCACCTGGACGCCCCTCACCTGGCCAATAACCCATTAGGAAAACTGCCCCGCTGGAAGTGATCTCAGTAGATTTTCTTTATTTAAAAAACAGGCAACACAGGTATTCTTTTGATTATTTTCTATATTTTGATAACTGAAGACACGTTTTAAACTACCAGTAACAGAAGAATTTAAAAATAAAACCACCTTACATCCCAGCACCTGATGTAACAATGGCTCGTACTTTAATCTGCCTCCAAGCTTCCAGTGCAAATATATATCATACTACAGTATATTATATTCTTTAAAATGGGGGCTAATCATACACATGGTTTTATAATCTACTTTTTCCCATTAAAATGATTATCTCTGCCTATTTTTTCATAATGAGAGCCTTATTTGATTTTTTTCTTTTTAATTTTATTGCGTTTTAGGTGAAAGTTTACAGCACAAATCAGTTTCTTATTCAAAACTTTATAAACAAATTGTTTTGTGACATTGGTTGCAATCTCCGCGTTGTGTCGGCGCTCTCCCCCTTTCCCTTTCCACCCCAGGTTCCCCGTGCCCATTCATCCGGGTTTCCTGTCCCTTTCTACCTTTTTGCCTTTGCTTTTGAGCAGGTGCTGCCCATTTGGTCTCATACTTGATTGAACTAAGGAGCACATTCCTCACACGTGTTATTGTTTGTTTTCAGCCCTGGTGGCGTAGTGGTTAAGAGCTCAACTGGTAACCAAAATGTTGGCGGTTGGAATCCACCAGCCGCTCCTTAGAAACCCTATGGAGCAGTTCTACTCGGTCCTACAGGGTCTCTGTGCATCAGAATCAACTCAACAGCAACGGGTTTGGTTGTTTTTGTTTTTTATCTTTGGCTGAAAGGAGAACTTCAGAATCAATTTATTAAATCAATTGGTAATTTGGTGGATTTTTCTCATATAGTTGAAGGGAACTTAATGATATCTTCAAATCCAGCCCATTAGGTTTAGGAAGAGGGAAGCTTCTCTACCTTAGCCCCCCTGCTGCTCCCAGTCCTTTTTCATTTATTTCCATGCCATGTTTAAGAAACATCCCTCTTCTCTCCGTCTGAGCCCTCTAGAGGCCCTCATTTACATATTCTGCCCTGCTGCTCCTTCACCAACAGCTGACTTCACATCTCCTCTTGAATACCTACTAGACATCTCAAACTTACTGTGGTCCAAATAAAACTCTTGATCCACATTTCTTACTCACCTCCCAGTCTTTCTTATCTCAGCAAATGTTCTCACTATCCTCTAGGTTGTTCAAGACAAAAACCTAGGAATCATCCTTGATTTCTCTCCTTTCTTCGCATCTTGCATCCAATCCACCAACACATATTCTGGACTCTTGGCTCTACCTTAAAATAAATCCTGAATCTATCCACTTCTCACTACCTCCACCTTACAACTACCATCATCTCTTGCCTAAAACTAGACTCCATGTCACCTCTCTTCCTTTACAGTCTACGTAACAGCACCGCTTCAGTGGGTTCTCATGGCACTTAGGAAATATTCCAAAATCCTTCCCATGGTCCTTCACGATGGGCATCTTGCCCACCACACTAACTTTGATTCCTAACAGTTTTCCCTTATTCATGCCACACTAGCCATGATTTATTTCCTGAGGTTCCTCAAACATGCCAAAACACTTGGTTATTTAAGGGCCTCAGAAACAACTCTTTCCTTTATTAGCAATATTCTTTCTCCAGAACTTCACACAGCGCATTCTCTCATTTGATACAGGTCACAAATCTCCTCAAATATCTTGTTCCCATAAGCCTTTACTGACCATTAATCTAAAACAGCTCACCCTACTCACTTGCATATAACTCTGTCTTACTTTCAAAATATTTAGCCCTCCTTGAAATGTTATTTTTTGTTAATTATTTATTACCTGTAAATTTTATTTTTTGTTGTTGAGAATATACACTACAAAACATACACCAATTCAACAGTTTCTACATGTACAATTTAGTGACATTGATTACATTCTTAAAGTTGTGCAACCATTCTCACCCTCCTTTTCTGGGTTGCTCCTCCCTCATTAATATAAACTCGCTGCTCCTTAAGGTTCCTATCTAATCTTTTGAGTTGCCGTTGTCAATTTGACCCCATGTAGATAGTTCTTAAAAGAGCATATGCTCAAGGTAGATTTTTTTTATTAGTTAAGCTAAACTAATGTTCTGGAGCCCTGGTGGTACAGTGGTTAAGTGATATGGCTGCTAACCAAAAGATCAGCAGTTTGAATCCACCAGGCGCTCCTTGGAAACCGTATGGGGCAGTTCTACTCTGTCCTATAGGGTCACTATAAGTCGGAATCAACTCAACAGCAACAGGTTTGGTTTTTTTTTTGTTGTTGTTGTTCTGTTTTGAGATGACTTCAGGGGGATATTTTTGGTGTAAGGTTTAAAGATTATCTCAAGGCAATAGTTTCAGGAGTTCATTCACCCTCAATGGCTTCAGGAAGTCTAGGGTCCATGAGAATTTTGAATTCTGTTCTGCGTTTTCCCCCTTTTGATCAGGATTCTTCTATGGAATCGTTGATCAAAATGTTCAGTAACGGTAGCTGGGCACCATCCAGTTCTTCTTGGTCTCATGGCATGCTAGCTGTTCTTTTAAAAAACATGAGTGGATGTTGAAGGTTATCAAATGCTTATTTTTTGCATCTATTAATATAACCACATTTATTTTTCTTGTGCATATGGCAAATAACATTGATTGATTTTTGAATGTTAAGCTAACTTTATATTCCTGGGATAGGCTCAACTTGGTCATAATATATTGTTCTTTATAGTATTGCTGAATTTGTTTTGCCTATATTTATTTACAGTTTCTGCATCTATGTTCATCAGTGACATTGGCCTGTAATTTTTCCATCTTGTACTGTTCTAGTCAGGTTTTGGTACCAATATTCATTCTATGAGCCATACAAAATGAGTTGGGGAATATATTTCATATTATATTGAAAAATTTGTGAAATATTTATTTCTTGACTATTTAGCAGAATTTACTGGAAAAGCCATCTGGCATGGGGTTTTCTTTGTGAGAATAGTTTGACCTCTAATTCAATTCTATTAACAGTTATGGAATTATTTGGGCTGTTTCTTCTTGAATCATTGTTGTTAATTTACATGGTATGATAAATTTGCCTGTTTTACCCAAAATTTATTGGCTAATATAGTTCATAATATTCTCACATTATCTTAAAGTTCTGCAAGATCTGTAATCATTCTCTTTCTAATTCCTGATATTGGTTATTTATACCTTCATTCTTTTTTCACTTGATCAATCTTGCCTTAAGTTTGTCAATTTTATTAGCATTTTCTAAGAACCACCTTTAGTCTTTGTTGATCCTCTGTTGTATGTATTCAATCATAAATAGAAACAAAAAATTCCTAAGAATTTTTATTTCTGATTTTTTTCCTAACATTTTGGGATGGATGTTTAACTCACTTATTTTGCAAGATTTTTTCTTTCCAATTATATTTTTAAGGCTATAAGTTTCCTCTGTTATATTGTTTTGTCTGTATTGCTCAAATTTTTATAGGCAGTATGTTCATAATTGTTCACTTCAAAATGTATTCTAACTTTCATTACGATGTCTTTTTTGACTCATAGTATTTTAAAATTCCTAAGCATATGGAGATTTTGTATTTTCTTTTCCAAAATTATTTTTTTGAATAATTGTGGTGTAGTTGAATAATATCCTCTATATTATTGCAGACTCTTGAAATTGGTTGAGACTTGCTTTATAGCACAATATACAATTTTTATAAACATTATGTTTATGTACATGAGATGAATGTATATTCTTCAGGGGTTAGATAATACACACACACGTACACATATATCAGTTTGGTAATGTTTGTTATTCATGTTCAAATCATCTGTATCCTTGATAATTTATGGACTTATGTGTTTCTGAGAGGTGTGTTAATAATCTGTCACTATGCATGATGTCAAAAGGAGCCCCAGTAGTGCAGTGGTTAAGCACTCAGCTGCTAATCAAAAGGTTGGTGGATCAAATCCACCAGTTGCTCTACAGGAGAAATATGTGGCAGTCTGCTTCCATAAAGGTTACCGCCTTGGAAACCCTGTGGGGCAGTTCTATTCTGTCCTGTAGGGTCACTATGAGTCAGAATTGACTTAACAGCACACAACAAATGTATGATGTCATGGAAATTGAGGAGTGCGAAGCTCCAAGAATTGGTCCCACCTTCTGGGTCAAAGGATGGAGGACAGAGAAAACAGCAGAGAGATCCAAAAGCTTAGAAAAAAGGAGGTTGAGAGGAAGATTGTTGGTAGAATAAGGGCTTCGAAGGGCTACCACATATACTGAGGAACCTGGAGTGTAACGTGCATGCCTAAGGATGGAGACATGCTCCTAAAAAAACCTGACAAGGCCTTAGGCTTGCACCTCTGGCTGAACTTTGGGCTCCATGCAAGCAGGAAGTGAAGGCTAAGGCACAGTTTTAGGCAGTCTGGCTTAGCATTGAAAGACTGCCCCAGTTCAGAGCCAATCTGCAAAGACTGGGAGAGTATTACTTTTTCTTTTTTGCTACAAGCATTTAAAGAAATCACTGTCAGGTCATGAACTGACTGTGGAGATAACAGAACAGAAACTTCAGTGGCGACACATGACAAGGAATACAATCTTTGCAGAAATAGTTTGGAAACGTCACTAAGCAAATGAATGACTGGCCCTCAATAATATTAAAAAAAAAAAAAAGCAAACCCTAATGACAGTAGAGAATCTGATTTCCAGAGTTATCCCATTATAATATTTAAAATACTCAGTTTTCAACACAAAATTATAAGTCATAAAAAGAAACAG